ACATTTTGTGTTAGAGGCAGACACAGACACTGCTATTCTGCTAGTTTCCTCACAAAATGGTGGTAAAAAACACAAACTTGTTAGAGGAAGGCACAGATTCAACTTATGACAGGAAAGCTGAAGTGAAAGCCTTTGATGATTCAAAAGCTGGTGTTAAAGGTCTTGTAGAGTCTGGAGTGACAAAGATCCCACGCATGTTCCATTCTGCCAAATTGAGCAATATTGAAAACTCAGCCAGTAACTCCAACTTGACTGTCCCCATCATAGACCTCAAAGACATACACAAAAACCCAGTTTTGCATGAAGAAGTAGTTGACAAAATTAGAACAGCATGCCAAGAGTGGGGATTCTTCCAGGTGATTAATCATGGAATTCCAATAAGTGTCATGGATCAGATGATTGATGGAATTCGTGGATTTCATGAACAAGATGCTGAGGTAAGAAAAGAGTTTTATTCTCGGGATAAAAAGAAAAAAGCTTTGTATTTTTCCAACCTTAGCTTGTTTACTGACCAAGCTGCTAATTGGAGAGATACATTTGGTTTTGCTGTTGCTCCTGAACCACCCAAACCTGAAGAAATGCCTTCAGTATGCAGGTAATGAGTTTAATACTAATTTTGATTCTAACCCTGTTAATCATGATCATCTTTCATGGTAGGTCTGGTTATTTATTTATTAGGGGTAGAAGTATTTAAAATTATTCACAGGGCACATGCTGCTGAAGTATTTAAACTTATACGGGTATAAGAATAAAAAATCTTATATCAATTTTATTTATTATTCCGCTTGCATTTAATGGCTCAAATAACTAATAAATTAGAAAAAGTTAGTTAGATATAAAGGGAATAAACAATTAAGATTGAATGTAATACATACACCAGTATAAATTAAGGAAAATATAAGAATCATGTTGCAGGAATGACACTGTTCATTCCTGCAACAAGGATCCGGCAACGTATCTTGAGGATACGGTGCTGTATCCTGATTTTGGTTTGATTTTTTTTTTTAAGCGTCGAACCCACACTTGATTTGTGTGTACAGGAAAATGGTCTTGTCATGTGACATGACAAAAAGCGAATCGGTATAAATTAATCATGCCCCTTTTATTATATATTTTCTATGTTGTAAATAAGTGTTCCTGGGAGAATCCCCACCTAGGACTTCACCACCACCTGCGAGATTACTGATCTGAACCACTTTGCAACCTATTAACCATCACTAGAGGCTTAATATAGGCCAGAACAGTGTCAAAAGGCTACACACTACGTGCATTCACTATCTCCTCATGTTTACACACACACACACCTGATTATTACTCATAGGACTTTTGATTAGAGGAATTGTGCTTCTGTCATCTCTACCTTCACCCCGTAAATTCAATCACTAGCTCTTGAGCTAAACATCTTTATTCACTTTCGAACAATAAGAAAACTATATAAATTGGCCTTGCAGCTTTCCAAATTATATATGTTCCAAGCAAAAAAATTGTTCTAGAAGTTTAGCAGTTCCACAAGTTTCCTAGATTTCACAGTTGTTATGTCACATGACATTTAATCACGATCACAAGTGTATTTCAGCTACGGTTAATTCCTATTTGAATTATTTTAATCCTCGATGAGTTGATTATGTATTTGCAGAAATATTGCGATTGAATATTCAAAGAAAGTAAAGGATTTGGGTTTTACAATCTTTGAGTTATTGTCAGAGGCTCTAGGACTTAATCCTTCTTACCTCAAAGAATTGAATTGTGCTGAAGGAATCTCTATTTTGGGGCACTATTATCCAGCATGCCCTGAACCTGAATTAACTATGGCCACTTCCAAGCACGCCGATAGTAACTTCATGACATTACTTCTACAAGACCAACTTGGTGGTCTTCAAGTTCTTCATGAGAATCAATGGGTCAATGTTCCTCCTTTACATGGAGCTCTTGTTGTAAACGTTGGAGATCTTCTACAGGTAATTATTATCATTTTTTCAGAATTTCGTATGCATTTTATAGATCATGAGTTGTATTAAGGATTAAGATACATTCAAAAAAATAGAATTCATGATCAGTAAAAGATTTTATTATTTTGATTAAGCTCTTAATTAACTATATAAAGTTGCATAAGGCGTGGGAAAAAAACCTGGTGGGGAAAGGTTGACAAAAAATTATCAAGCGTGTAAAATATGGCATATGATTTGCCACTATGCAAAGAGTACTATATTTCTAGTCATAATTGTTTTCTTACTAAAATAACGTGCTGAGAATAGAATTAGAAAACTATAAAAAATGAAAAGTAATAGGACTGTTTTATAATACTGTTAATATGTGTTTATAGTGAAACTAAAATCACTGGTTTCATTCTTGAAATTTGATATTTCTGCTGCTAAAATTTTGTTTTAAATAAACCTTATAATTGATAAACTCCTCTCTGCGGTTTTGTTTTTCCCCCCATAAACTAATATTATTAAATCTGAACTGAGTTAATGTGTCACTGGCCCAACTAGTGAATTATTGGTTGGATTAGTTGAACTGAATTTATATATTAATATGTAATAAATATAGTTGTTTTGGTACAGTGATTGAGTTTAAGTCCACCCATCCCAAAATTGTAGGATTCAACTCGTCTTGCTTGCCCGGTTTTCAACCGGTTCAAAATTACAGATTCAGTCCAATAATTGAACTGGACCGGTTGAGAGTCCGGTTTTCCATTCAACCGGTCCAACTGTCCGGTCTGGTTTTAATAAAACTGTCATAAACAGCTTTCCTGATCAAACACCTGAATTCAATTAAAACAAAATCAACGATTGGTGCTTTGTGAGAAAAGTATTTTATCAATTTCTTTTATACTGGTGCAGCTTATCACAAATGACAGGTTTGTCAGTGTTTATCACCGGGTCTTAGCACAGAACATAGGCCCAAGAATTTCTGTAGCAAGCTTCTTTGTAAATTCATCTGACCCAGTTGAAGGTACATCAAAGGTTTATGGTCCAATAAAGGAACTGCTTTCGGAGGATAACCCACCAATCTACAAGGACATTTCCATAAAAGATTTCTTGGTACATTATTTTGCAAAGGGCCTTGATGGGAAGTCTTCTTTGGAGCCCTTCAAGCTTTGAAGTGAACATAGAAATGCACTCTTGATTCTCATGGAGCTGGCTATAATTTATCTAAATAACATGCCACTGGTTTTCCATGATAAGTGACCTTTATATTGTTGGGTATATTGTTAATGGGCTTAACATCTCTCCTGGAGAGATTGAAATTTTTCAGCAGAAACAAAATTTGGTGGAGTCCACAAACTTTTGAAAATAAAAAAAATAAAAAATAAAAGCACGGAATTCGAGCTGACACAACAGGAGAATACACTTCTCCAGCAACAGGAGTAGTGCATTTCCCATTGTTAATATAGTACAAATAATATTACGTTTTACCGATATAGGTGTTATATTTTTATTTATTACTTTTTAGTTATATAATTTACCTCTGTTTGCATAGTAGAAAACACACATATTTCAAAACATGCATCTCTTCTCAATAATCCCAAATTTAGTTTATTTTTGCTTAAGGTTAACTTGGCTCAATTAGAAGAACATACAAGTAAAGTTTATTTACAAAAAGTCATTATTATCATCAACTTACTGTCGCTCATGAAATCTGAAAATATCCCAAGCTTAACTCATGTTTAATTTCACTTATATTGGGTAAAATGGAATAATGATTGTATGAAATAAGATATTTAGAAATTAGAATTTTGTTTTGAATTGAAGTTATTTTTCACATGTCATTTATAATTTTGTGTTTTTGATATTTTATATAATAAGACAATCTTAATTTAAGAGGTCAAACGACACATATTGGTTTACTAAAAAAATATACACATTATAATAATCACCATGAATTCAAATTGATAAGTTTAAAATATCAAGAAATTAAATGATACCCGTTATAATAATCATAATGAATACAAATAAAGTATTTTCTAATTTATATTTTAATTTGAAGTCAAAATAAACAACTGATAAAACATATTAAAAATATTTTAATAAAAAAACCAAACTTCCCTATTATGACATATGTATTTTGTACTTCTTAGTATTTAATTAAGAGATTTGATTAGAAGCTAAAAAAATGAGAAAGAAGATTTGATTCACTCTACTACTTTCTATTTTTATTGTGAACAAATGAATTGTCAATTTTTCTTGGGTATCTCCACAGTATTATTAGTAGGGTTCATACCAGATTTTTTGGGTAGAAAATGCCATAAGCCCAAAAGAAAAACAATAATACTGAAAATTCAAACACAATTAAATTATGAATATCCATTGCAGCCAATGTGTCAGCTCTGATGGGGCAACTCTCAGTCAAAGCAGGAGGAGGCCCGACCACGACACAAAGCCCGACAGAAACCCCCTTCATACACAGCTCTCTTGACTCAAGGAATACAGCGTCCCCAAATGTCTGGTTAAAAGAAGGCGACAGAGGCATAGTTTGAGTGATCATGACCTTGGCAGAAGGATTGTGTTCCAAAATCTCAAGCCTCCACTTCTTTTGTTTCTCCTTGGAAGTTTCGGTTACAACCGACTTCACTTTCCCGGAATCCTTCGTCATGAACTTCTATAAGAAGGGCCCGTTATGTATGCTACAAGAAGAAAGAGAAGTCAGAAAAAAATAGCAATAAAAGAAAATCTTAAGCTCGGTCTGAACCAAAATAACATATTGTACTCGGCATCTAAGTCAGTTCCAAATTTATTCACAGTCCCACTCAGATCAAAAATAGCATTGTTCGGTCCTGGATAGACCGTATTGCTATACCGTAGGGTATGCGTTCAGAGATAGTGTATATCAAGTGTATACTAGGCTTATAGTCGAGGTCTCAATCACTGCGCACAAGCAATAGGCTTATAGCCAAAGGGTGGGTGTGTGCACAGTGTGGGCAGTATTAATAAATAGGTTAAAAATGTATACCTGGGGTCTTTAACCTCTTATTTATAAGGGATACCTCTTGGGCTTGTGTAGATCTCCCAGTTGTAGTAGGATTTAACTTTCTTTCTGTTGGAATAGGGACTCTATCTTTAGCTGTCTTACTGTTTTATATTGTTAGGATAATTGGAGAATTATCCTTTAAGGGATCCTTAGGTAAGTGGTTAGGATATGGAAATATTCCATAACAGTTGTCCCCCAGCCCGGCAGTTCGGAAGCTCGGACTGCTGGGGTGCCTAAGTTTGATTGATAGGTTAACCCTACCGAGGTACTATGATCTTGTCTTGGGTCTGGTGTGACTACCTCTTCTGGGTTTAACTTTTTATATTGGCTTCTTTTCTCTTGAAGTCTCTGAGTGGTGAGTTTGTTGACTTTGAGCTCGGCTTTTCTTGCCGAGGTTTTTTAGTTTTGACTAGGCTTATAGTCAGTCTTTTATATAGGCGTTCGCCTAAGTTTTAGGATAGCATTTCGTGCCTCCTTAATAATTAACCCGACTTTGCACTTCCTGGCGTTAAGTGTCGAGGTTCCATATTTGGCTCGGTTTCGCATACCGAGGTCTCTATTAGCATGGATTTCACCTTTTGCAAAGGTGTATTGTACTTTAGGGAGCACAAATTTTCTTACTACGAATTCCCCCTTTTGGATTTGACTTGCTGCCAATGTTAATTTTGGGAAGGTCTTTCGTGCCTTCTTGAACCATTAGTCCGGCTTCGAATATCATGACTTCTCTTGCTTTTGATGGACTTGGCTTCTTTTGCCATAGTCTTGGATTCTTGAAGGAGGAGTTCGCCTCCTCCATTTTAAGCCCGAATACGTATACCGAGGCTTTTATTTTGAGCCCCGCTTCATTTGCGATGGCTTTCTTTAAATTGACTCGGCTTTTGCCTTGTCTACACTTTTGAAGGCAGTATCGTTGTCTTTCTGAATTTAGCCCGGCTTAAAGTACCGTGGCTTTACTGTTGGACTAGACTTTTTGCCAGTCTTGTTTGAGCCCGGCTTCGCATACCGTGGCTTTCTACTTTGAGCCACGCTTCATTAGCGGTGGACATTTTATCTGAACCTGGCTTCTTATGCCGTGGTTTTCTTATTTTGAACCCTGCTTCATTTACGGTGGATCTTTAATTTGAGGCTGGCATGTTGGGCCGCAAACTTTGCCATTTGGCTTTGTTGCCAAAATCTTGAATAGGAGCCCAACATCATATGCCGCCTCGATTTTTCTTTTATCTCAAATTGGGATGTGATCTTTTTCCAGGATCACGATCTCTCCAAATTCGTCTTCTCGGATTGGGGTGTGATCTTTTTACTAGAATCACATCTCTCCGATTTTGTCTTCATTTTTATCTCAGATTGGGGTGTGATCCGTTTATTGGGATCACATCTCTCATTTTCTGTCTTCATTTTGATCTCAGAGCCTGAAGATAAGGCTAGGGCTGAGTTGAAGCTCAAGGCCGAGGTCAAGCTTTAATCTTGAAGCCCTTCACTGGGCTGAGTTGGAGCTCAAAGCTGAGGCCGAGCTTATAAACATGAAGCCCTTCACTGGGTTGAGTTGGAACTCAAGGATGAGGCTGAGCTTTAATCTTGAAGCCCTTCACTGGGCTGAGCTCGAGGGTGATGCCGAGCTTTTAAACTTGAGGCCCTTTGTTGGGCTGAGCTCAAGGCTAAAGCCGAGCTTTAATCTTAAAGCCTTTCATTGGGCTGAGCTCGGGGCTGATGCCGAGCTTTTAAACTTGAGGCCCTTTGTTGGGCTGAGCTCAAGGCTGAGGCCGAGCTTTAATCTTGAAGCCCTTCATTGGGCTGAGCTCGAGGCTGATGCCGAGCTTTTAAACTTGAGGCCCTTTGTTGGGCTGAGCTCAAGGCTGAGGCCGAGCTTTAATCTTGAAGCCCTTCATTGGGCTGAGCTCGAGGCTGATGCCGAGCTTTTAAACTTGAGGCCCTTTGTTGGGCTGAGCTCAAGGCTGAAGCCGAGCTTTAATCTTGAAGCCCTTCATTGGGCTGAGCTCGAGGCTGATGCCGAGCTTTTAAACTTGAAGCCCTTCATTGGGCTGAGCTCAAGGTCGTGGCCGAGCTCTTAAACTTGAAGCCCTTCATTGGGCCGAGCTCAAGGCCGTGGCTGAGCTCTTAAACTTGAAGCCCTTCACTGGGCTGAGTTGGAGCTCAAGGCTGAGGCTGAGCTCTTAAACTTGAAGCCCTTCGTTGGGCTGAGCTCAAGGCCGTGGCCGAGCTCTTAAACTTGAAGCCCTTCGTTGGGCTGAGCTCAAGGCTGAGGCTGAGCTCTTAAACTTGAAGCCCTTCGTTGGGCTGAGCTCAAGGCCGAGGCCGAGCTAACAATTTTGAAGCCCTTTATTGGGCTGAGTTGAAGCTCAAGGCTGAGGCCGAGCTTTTAAACTTGAAGCCCTTCACTGGGCTGAGTTGGAGCTCAAGGTTGAGGCTGAGCTCTTAAACTTGAAGCCCTTCGCTGGGCTGAGCTCAAGGTCGTGGCCAAGCTCTTAAACTTGAAGCCCTTCGTTGGGCTGAGCTCAAGGCGGTGGCCGAGCTCTTAAACTTGAAGCCCTTCGTTGGGCTGAGCTCAAGGCCGTGGCCGAGCTAACAATTTTGAAGCCCTTTATTGGGCTGACTTGGAGCTCAAGGCTGATGCCGAGCTTTTAATCTTGAAGCCCTTCGTTAGGCTGAGATCGAGGCTGATGCCGAGCTTTTAAACTTAAGGCCCTTTGTTGGGCTGAGCTCAAGGCTGAGGCCGAGCTTTAATCTTGAAGCCCTTCATTGGGCTGAGCTCGCGGCTGATGCCGCGCGTGTTCTCCTTGGATGGGAGTCGAAATTTGTCGTTTCCCACAGACAGCGCCAATGTTCGGTCTTGGATAGACCGTATTGCTATACCGTAGGGTATGCGCTCAGAGATAGTGTATATCAAGTGTATACTAGGCTTATAGTCGTGGTCCCAATCACTGCGCATAAGCAATAGGCTTATAGCCAAGGGGTGTGTGTGCACAGTGTGGGCAGTATTAGTAAATAGGTTAAAAGTATATACCTGGGGTCTTTAACCTCTTATTTATAAGGGTTACCTCTTGGGCTTGTGTAGATCTCCCAGTTGTAGTAGGATTTAACTTCCTTTCTGTTGGGATAAGGACTCTATCCTTAGCTGTCTTACTGTTTTATATTGTTAGGATAATTGGAGAATTATCCTTTAAGGGATCCTTAGGTAGGTGGTTAGGATATGGAAATATTCCATAACAAGCATAATCTTCCATATATTTCATCGAAGTGTTAAAAGCCAATCGTTCTTCATTGGCAAGCGACGATTTAGGGGTCTGATACCGCCTTGTTTTCCTAAGGTAGTGCCTCCAGAACTAATAAAGGGGAAACTTGTTTATAACTACCCCTGCTCATCCACAATGGTCATAAACCAAGGTCGGCAATTGCGATGAACCGATACTTTAAAAAATTGGTATTTAAACTTCTTGAAAGATTGTGTGAAGACACATAAGACTTTCAAGGATGCAACACCATGGATTGTGACCCAACCCTCTTCTCTTTGGTTTTAGACCTCATCTGTGATGTATACACTTCAAACATATAGAAGAAAAGCTTGACAGAGTAAGGAATATTAAATATGTACATACTTGCTCAAAACCTCGAACGAAGGCCCAAGAATTGGGATGGAGTTGAGTCGGGACAACTCGAAGATGGATCAAAACATCCATTTGGAACTCGAAAAGGGGAAACCGAATCCTCATCTTAGTAATCAGATCACGGTAAAAAAAGAAGAAGTCAAGCTCGTGCTCCCCCCAGCCTGCACAGATCGTTTCTTCAGCCCTAGCCGAGATGAGGTCTACCCCGACAATATTGCCTACTAGAAGCTCTGTGATCTCCGCAATAGACATACGAGAACGGATGCTGAGAACTTCCCATAAGACCTAGGGGAACTCATTTTGTAGCTGGGCTGAGGGAACCACCGTTGATGACCTAAAACAAGAAGACTCGGAGTCAGCATAAGAAGTCGATATATTTGAGCCCTTTGAATCCAAACCAAGCTCTAAAGAACTAAAGTTGGAACCATATGAGCCAGAAGACTAGTCATTAAAAGTCTCAATGGGACAGGCTGGGCCCCTAATGAGACGGGAAAGCAGAACATCATTGGAACCCATCCTGGTAGCAGATCTTCGATGAGGGCACTCGTTTAATGACAATTCGGTGCATGTTTCATAACCAAGGGTGGAAAATGTGGCAGCCAGGGCTTTATGTGTCACCTTTTCTATTTTCATTACCAAAGGAGTAGGTGATGACATGACTGAGCTCTCTTTTGCCGACATCCAGATACAACCGATCTCCCTAGTGCCATCGAAGAGGAACAGTTGGGGGCTGAAGATGAGACTTGACCATGGACCAAGGATGCATCTCGTTTAGGACTGGGGTAATTCAGAATCATATCTCGGTTCGAAGACTCAGCATGACCCCGTTCACGTTGGGAAAGGACAGACCTCAGCTTACTCTCTCCACTACGGTATCCTCAAAGAAGTAGCTATTGTCTCTCCTCTTTGGTACGATCAATCCTAAGCAACCAAAACCTTGCTTCAGGGGGCAAGCTAGACATAAGATCGTCTTCCTTGACTGCACCTCGATCACCATCACCTCAGTTAGGAGTTATAGAACCCAAGCCTTTGTCATTCATCTTGTCCTGGAGAATCCTAACCAAGACTCCTAATAGACAAACTCACAAAGGGATTGGGTTATCTTAAAAGGAAAGGGAAGGGTTTATGTTAGCACTAAATTATTTATATAATTATTGTATTATTTTATATTATTATATATTTTTTTTGGGTTGACAATTACAGGAAAATGGGCTAAAAGAATGTGAGATATGGCCCAATTCAAAAAGGAAATAACCAAGCCCAAGTTAATTTATTTTTGCTAATAATTGTAATTATTCATATTTTTCAGGTATCTTTCTTTGAAAAGGCACGTGGATCAGCTTTATGAAGTGAACACATTTTAACCATTGGATGACAAGGAGATAGACGGCTCTTAGCGTGTAGAATTTTTAGTTTTAGTTCCTTTTGTGGTTTGTAAAAATAGGATAGATATCAGATTTTTAGATCAGAGACTGAGACTTAGAAAAAAGATTTCAATCTTCGTTATTTTTTTTTATAGTTTTAGAAAACTCGTGTGTTCTTCACTTTGAAATCTTCAAGATCTAGAATCTCAAGCTCTGACAACGCTGGAAGGAAGGATCAAAGGAGGTGCTTGCAAGTGGAGAAAGATCCTGCTCTAGTTTAGAATCGATATTATGATGAACAATTTTTCTGATTTTATCTTTTAATGCATGTTTCTATTTTTCTTTCATCTTTGATTTTCGTTACATGAATATGGGTTTCTAATTTCTTTTCTTTTCTGGGTATGTTAAAAATGATTGGATGAATTTTTGATGTTCTTTGTTACTGTTTTTTTATTTTCATTCGTTTGATTCTTTCACTTTTCAACTCAAGAAATTCATGGGAATGAAATTTGAGTATTTCAACAAAAAGAAATTGGGAAATGGATTTTTGTTAAGTATTAAATGAACCCTTTTGGATTAGGGATAATCAAAGGTGATTACTGATATAATTTCTGTAAAGATTCAAGAAGCTTTGGGAAAAGATCTTCTTGAGCCTTAATGTTGATTCTAGAAAGATTCAACTAAACTTGCCGTAGTACTTCAGAAATTGAGATAAACTCGCTGTAGCACTGTACGAAATTTGCAGGAATGCAAATATTTTTGTCATCCATGATTTTTGATATACCCAGAAATCTTTTAATATTCATAAATCATTTTCTTTCTTCTAGATTACATTTTGATAACTGATACAGATTACAAAACTCTCTTGTTCTAAAAAAAACCAATTAAATTTCAATTCAAGAATTTTTAATTCAAAAAAATAAAAGGAAAAATATTTCAACCTGTTCCCTGAGAACGATAACTCTTTCTTTCGAAAATTACTACCCAACAAAATGGCGCCGTTGCCGGGGAACGGTGTTTGATTTTATTTTCTTTTTGTGATTCTGTTTTAGACTTCTTGATATTTTTTCTTTTTCTTTTTCTTTCCTTTTCCTTTTTACATATTTTTCTTGTTATCTACTGACTCCAATTTCAAGTTCTTGAGAGATTTCTGCAGAATTCAATTCTGATTACAGTAACAAGCAGTATTACACATTTGTTGTTGAATTCTTGAAGATGGCAGAATCAAACCATGGATCTGTTAATGGAGAAAACATCAATGGCAATGGGAATGACAACCATGCTCTAGTCATGGTGGATGAGGAGATTCCCATTGCTGAATATGTTATTCCATCACTAGATTGAGTAATTCCTGGTATAGTCCAGCCTGGAGTGGAGGGGAATTTTGATCTCAAACCAGGAATGATACAGCTGCTGCAATCTGTGACTCAATACCATGGATTACCGAAGGAAGATCCCCACAAGCATATTACAAAATTTATGAAAATCTCTGATACCTTTTCTGTTCATGGAGTATCCACAGATGCTATGAGGATGAGGCTTTTCCCTTTTTCTCTAGCTGGGGCAGCAGAAAAATGGGTAGAAGATTTGCCTGCACAGTCCATCACCACGTGGAAGGAGCTTGGAGAAGCCTTCCTTATGCGGTTTTTCCCATCCACAAAGGTGTGTGATTTGAGGGATGACATCACAGGGTTTAGACAGTATGTTGATGAGTCAATCCATGAGAGCTGGACTAGATTTAAGGGGCTGATTAAAAAGTGTCCTACACATGGTCTTGCTAAGTGGGCTACCATTCATATTTTCTATAGAGGATTAAGTCACCAAGGCAAAACTCACTTGGATGCTACTGCCAATGGAATGTTTCTGTTAAAAAGGTATCCAGAGGCTTTTGAGACTCTTGAGTTAATAAGCCAAAACAGTTGCCAATGGCCTGAACAAAGAGATGAAGCTCCAAAGAAGGCAGCTGGACTTTATGAAGTGAATGAAATCACTTCCATGGCAGCTGAGATGGCAGCACTGCATAACACTGTTAAGGTTTTAGTCAAGCAAATGGCTGAAACCAAACAGCAACCACCTGCTCAAGTGGCTGCAACCACACCAATCTGCTCACTTTGCCATGGTCCCCATTTTTTTGAAGAATGCCCAAGCAACCCCTCTTCAGCCTTCTATGTTGGTGACTACAACAATAGAGGGAACTTTAACCAAGGCAGATGGCAGCAACAAGGTGGAAATTTTGGGCAGAATCAGGGCCAAAATTACCATCAAAATGTTGGGAATAGAAATCAGAATCAGTCCTTCCAAGGAGGGAAGCAACCATATCAACCAAAAGTCCCATTTCCACCCAGTTTCAACTCACAAATGCCTTCAGATCAGCAAAGGCAGCCTAATGGAGAAATTCAGCCTCTTCCTAATGATCAGTGGTCAAACCGGATTCTGCAAAATTATGAGACCATGCTTCAAAGTCATGGAGCAATCTTAAAAAGCTTAGAGACACAAATGGGGCAGATTGCATCCTCTCTTAGCAATAGACCGGTGGGAACTCTTCCTAGTGATACTGAAGCACCAAGGAAAGAGGGAAAGGAATTTTGTAAGGCTCTCCATTTGAGAAATGGAAGAGAGGTTGAACAACCAGAGCATGTTATTAGGCTTTCTACCTTGAGGAAGTTAGCAGAAAAAAATGCTCAACCAATTGAAGAGGAAGAACCTAATGTAATTGAAGTGCAAGATTCAGAAAACAACAAGGTGCAAGGTGATTCTAGCAAAACAGAAAAATCAGCACCTAAACCAAAGGAGCCAGCCAAACCTATGCAGCAAAATGAAGGCATTTCACCAAGATCAAGGGCAAGGCAGATTCCATTTCCACAAAGGCTTCAAAAACAGAACCAGGAGCAGCACTTTAAGAGGTTCTTAGACATCCTCAAGCAACTCCAGATCAACATTCCATTTGTGGAGGCCCTTCAACACATGCCAAGCTCCATCAAATTCATGAAGGACATCCTATCAAGGAAGAGGAGAATAGAAGAGTTTGAAATAGTGGCACTTACCAAAGAATGCAGCAGCATTGTCTCTACAAAAGTACCTCCTAAAATGGAGGATCCAGGTTCTTTTACTATTCCATGTGTTATAGGAGATAGGTATATTAGTAGAGCTTTATGTGATTTAGGCTCTAGCATTAATTTGATGCCTGCTTCTATTTTTAAGCAATTAGGAATAAAATCTGCACCCACAACATTAACTCTCCAATTAGCTGATAGGTCTATTGTATACCCTGAAGGAAAAGTGGAAAATATTTCGGTAAAAGTGGAAAAATTTATTTTTCCAGCTGACTTCATAATCCTTGATTGTGAAGTTGATGAAAATATTCCTATTATAGTAGGAAGACCAATTTTAGCTACAGGGGGTGCAATGATAGATGTTAAAAAAGGAGAGTTAACAATGAGGGTAAATGATGACATTATAACCTTTAGTGTTTTTAAAGCCATGAAATATGTGGATGATGATGTTGATGATTGTTCTGCCATATCTATCATTGATCACTTGGTTGCTGCCCATGTTAAAGAAAATTTTGAAATAAATGCATCTGCATGTGAATCTGCCATTTTTGAAATTAATGAGAATAATGCATCTGATCATGATCATGCATGTACATTGAAGTCTTATCCTACTAAGTTCTTTGGTGATAAACATTTTGAGTCCCTTGGACTTCATGAGAGAATCACCAAACCTCTTAAACCTTCCATTTTGGAACCACCTGAAGTGGAGTTGAAAGAACTCCCAACTCACCTTAAATATGCATTTCTAGGAAGAGATAATACCCTCCCTGTAATTGTAGCTGCTGCCCTAAAAAATAATGAGGAAAATCAGCTCCTAAAGGTGCTTAAAAATCACAAGAAAGCCATTGGTTGGACCATGGCTGATATTAGAGGCCTTAGCCCTTCTTTTTGTATGCATAGGATAAGGCTAGTTGATGAAAATGCCAGTTCTATTGAGCCTCAAAGAAAGCTCAATCTAACCATGAAAGAAGTGGTCAAAAAGAAAATAATCAATTGGTTGGATACAGGACAAATTATTCTGAATTTCAAGATAAGAATCAAATTGTTTCCAATCAAGTTTAGATGGCTGAAGCATTACTGGACAAGGGATGTGAATAAAGAGAAGATTTTCATTTCTTTATTAGATGTTGGATGAAACACAAAAAAAAAAAAGAGTGTAGTTGATTAATTAGTTAGTGTAATTGTGGCTGTTGTAGCTTAGTTAGTTTAGTGTGTGTAACTGTTGATATGTTTAGTTTTACATTTCTGAGTAGTTTTCAACTTGTTGTAGTGAGCTTGAATCCTATTAATTTTTTTGTCATGTGTTAGTGTTGTCTTCTTAAAACCAATAAAAATTTGTTCTTTAAAAAAAAAAGTGACTGAAGAGTTAAGATGGTCCTATATTGCTGAGTGTGAACTGTGAACTATGAGAATGAGCAACCTCTTAAGTTTGGGGTAGCACAATGATAAGAAGTACCAGGTATTAATTTTTCTGAGACTTAAATTGTTTATCTGCTAGTTGTCAACAATTGAGGTTTAAAGAACAAGGCTATTAGTTTCAGTAGGAAACCAATGTGTATTAGGTAGACTACTTGAGCACATGACTGTTGAATATATAAGTGAGGATTGGAGAGATGAGTTCAGATTTGTGTACGACTGAATTAGTTGATCCCCAACTTATTGGATCAGTTGGATATGTGATTTAGACAAACACATTGAGTTTGAGGTTCAATTCTTTATTGTGTAATGATATAGGAACGAGACATCAAAGTTGGATTGTATAATGATGGTGATCAACTCACGTTGATAGCTTAACCGTTACACATTGTTGAAACCGTGTGATTATGGTGCTATGTGAACTATTGGGCTAACCCTTATATTATAGCAGACTGGTCTGTGGAAATATGAGAGGTATTTGAGGTGTGAAAGTAGTGTGTTAATTCTTAAACTTGAAATGTTTTGTGATACAGTTGTGGGTTCTGATTAAATTTTCCTACATATGTTAAGTTACTATCTTGATTTTCAAATTTGACAACGGTTAGACTATTATTATTATTATTTTTTATTTATTTTATTTGCCCTTATCCCCTCTTTGCTTTATCTCCAATCATTCTCTGCACATATCAGCTTTTTCTTATTGGCACAAATAAAAATTCTTTGATTAGAGCGGTGCTTTATGAGCAGAGCCAATTTTCAATGTTGAAATCCTACCTGCACCTCTGAGATTATCCAGTAGCTTGTAAAAACCTTTCTATAGCATTGATGTGACTCCTCTGCATAAGTCCTATATTTCACCTACTTTACCCAATACAAAATAGTACTCTTCCTTTTCTCTCTCCACACTCTCATTTTTGCTAAAACATCTTTCTTCTTCTTTATTCTTCATTCTGATTTTGTGTTTCAAATACGTGTCCTCATTCAACATCATTTCTTCTTCCTCGTTCTTATCCATTCGACCAAATCCCTCACCTTGTTTGAAGTTAAAAAAAAAGGTTTGATTTTTTTTTTGTCCTGAAACCCTAACTTTATTATTTTTTTTTTTTTTGATTCTCTGTGACCATCTACCAATTTCTCACTCTGAGTTTCCTGTTCTCTAAACTATTTTTATCCATTTCATCTTCTTCCATCTACCTACGGGTCGTTGTTGATCAAGACCGAACCATTATTATTATTTTTTCTTTTCTTTCAATTTTTTTCCCCTTCTCACAGATTGAAATCCCTAATATATATATATATATATATATATATATATATATATTATTCAGATTCAAGTGATATACTGCTACGCATTTGAACATACTCTAAAAGCATACTCTATGTTCATTCTTTAATATAATCTTGTAGAGTGCTCTTTACTGTTCATTCATTTTTTTTTTGGAGCTGCTGGTTATTATCATGTCAATTTTGACATTAGAGTTTGTGGATAGTGAAATATTCTTAGAGCAATTGATCTTGAAATTTTCTGTCATATGCTTCTGCTATGAGTTTATCACTTGGCTGCAAAATTTTGGTTATAACAGCTTAATTCTTTATTGGTCAACACCTTGCTAGGAGATACATCTATTTTGTTCTCATTGATTGAGCTTCTTTGTTGAAACCATCTTGGTAAACAGAAATTATATTCTTGTCTTTGCTTTCCTTAAAGCTTAAACTTGGCATATTCTGAGTAGGAGGTATAGGTCCACCAACAAGAATAGAGGCTATGATCTGATAGTCTCTATATTGATAATCCATGATCATGTCAGGCAGATGTTGGGTATTCTTCACTCCTCGGTATATTGTTTAGGGATATCTAAATATTATCAGTTTAATCTGGTTATTGTTTTTGAGTTGATTACTTAATTAAAAAAAATAAAACTGTTCTGATTGGGTGAATACATTAGATGTTTACCTATTTTGAATATAAAATAATGCTGTCATGTATGCTCATAGTGAACACCACCATCTGATTTTGGTGGCTGTCTACATGTTAAGTGGATAAACATGCTTATTTGGTTCAATTTATATGATTATTAATTTGTAATTTGTCTTCCTTATATAACATTTTCTGCCACTTTATCATATAATCATGTTGTCCTAACACTGTAATTATTTTCTTTGCTGACATTTATGGGTACTCATTTGCTGACAGATTTCCCTTTATGTTTCTTTTATTCACTGATTTATGATCCAGTGAACAATGACACCTTTTCTGAAAGCTGAAATCTCTTGTTGGTACCCAGGTTCTTTATTTATTTATTTATTTATTTATTTTTCAATTTATTATTTTTATATATTTATGTACTGCTGTAAGGACCCAGCTTAATTTTAAGTTTGGGGTGATTTTGTGATTATATGCTGTTACCAATAATCTTTCTAGTATTTGCTGATTGGCGCATAAAAATGATAAAAATTTACTCTGTTTTGTATGCTGGATTACCTGAGTGGTAACTTGGAAATGATTTATAACCTGATATGTTTAACATTATCATTGCTTAAGTATAACCAGATTTAATTAAATTAATTCCTAGTCAATTAAGAATCTAACTTAGTTGATCAGTATTTACATAAGTTGAAAATCAATTTACATGCCATAAAATTTTTTGTGATCCCTGATTTGCTGATTCACTGATAAACCACTGAATTAACAACCTATGTGAGGTATTTGAACCTAAACACTCTATTCTTTTGTGAGTGGTCATTGTGTATTGGTGTTTTGAATGCTGCACTCTGTTTGGATGACTAATATGCTATTTTTGTGTGATTGGGGCATTGTTTTTGAATATGTAGCCTAGAGCCAAAAGCCTCACCCTTCTATTATATCCCTTAGTCCCTATATTTGAGCCTGAGACCTTTCTTTTCTGATTATGTATCCTGATATTATGAGGCAAATCCCTTGTCCAACCTATATATAGCTATCTTAGTATTTAGCTAATTCTCATTAGCTCAGAAATACAATAAGCTAAATAAGGCAAAGGGAAATTGGTTGTAAAAAAGAGAAAGGAAAGAAAAAGGAAAAAAGATCAGGAGGTAAAAAAATCGAAGAAAAAGGGGAACAAGTGATGTTATAAAAGGAGTTCTCTGTTTTTTAAAAAAAAGGAAAAAGGCAAAAGTAAAAAAATTGTGAAAGTGATTTTTTCAGAAAGAAGTTATAAAAAAGGGAAAAGAGAGTTAGTAATTTCCCTTTGTCTTGTTTAGGAAAAAATCAGAAAAAGGTAATGAGGATTAGTTAGACACTAAGGATCAGCTTAATTAGCCAAGTAACCAGAAAAACAAAGATCCTAGCCCTGCCTCATTACAAGCCTTAAAGACCCTTTGATGGAGGAAGCATATTGGACTTCAAGTTTCTAAATGGTAGTGTAGGTTGGAAGCATTCATGCATGATGATAATGAGTGAACTTCCTTATTGTTATAAAAAAGGAGAGAGTGTGATTGATTAAATATACCTGGAAAGGAATTCAGTGGAATGTCAATTAAATCAGTCTAAATTAAGGGTTGCAACTGTTTGAGTGTGCATGAATTTTTGATTGAATGCTTATATAATTGTTGATTGACTGGAGTTGAATGATTAATTTGATGTAGGAATTGGTTAATATTAAGTCTGGCCAATGCTTTAAGAAGTGTGATGTTTTGCATAGATGGTTGATAAATTTAACTGAGTTATTAAAATTGACTATGTGTTGCTGTGTGACTCTGTGAATTTTAAGCTAGCAATCTATTTTTGAATGTATGTTTTCTTGATTGCTTGAGGGCAAGTAATTACCTAAGTTTGGGGTATTTTGTTAGCACTAAATTATTTATATAATTATTGTATTATTTTATATTATTATATATTTTTTTGGGTTGACAATTACAGGAAAATGGGCTAAAAGAATGTGAGATATGGCCCAATTCAAAAAGGAAATAACCAAGCCCAAGTTAATTTATTTTTGCTAATAATTGTAATTATTCATATTTTTTAGGTATCTTTCTTTGAAAAGGCACGTGGATCAGCTTTATGAAGTGAACACATTTTAACCATTGGATGACAAGGAGATAGACGGCTCTTAGCGTGTAGAATTTTTAGTTTTAGTTCCTTTTGTGGTTTGTAAAAATAGGATAGATATCAGATTTTTAGATCAGAGACTGAGACTTAGAAAAAAGATTTCAATCTTCGTTATTTTTTTTATATAGTTTTAGAAAACTCGTGTGTTCTTCACTTTGAAATCTTCAAGATCCAGAATCTCAAGCTCTGACAACGCTGGAAGGAAGGATCAAAGGAGGTGCTTGCAAGTGGAGAAAGATCCTGCTCTAGTTTAGGATCGATATTATGTTGAACAATTTTTCTGATTTTATCTTTTAATGCATGTTTCTGTTTTTCTTTCATCTTTGATTTTCGTTACATGAATATGGGTTTCTAATTTCTTTTCTTTTCTGGGTATGTTAAAAATGATTGGATGAATTTTTGATGTTCTTTGTTACTGTTTTTTTATTTTCATTCGTTTGATTCTTTCACTTTTCAACTCAAGAAATTCATGGGAATGAAACTTGAGTATTTCAACAAAAAGAAATTGGGAAATGGATTTTTGTTAAGTATTAAATGAACCCTTTTGGATTAGGGATAATCAAAGGTGATTTCTGATATAATTTTCTGTAAAGATTCAAGAAGCTTTGGGAAAAGATCTTGAGCCTTAATGTTGATTCTGGAAAGATTCAACTAAACTTGCCGTAGTAATTCAGAAATTGAGATAAACTCGCTGTAGCACTGTACGAAATTTGCAGGAATGCAAATATTTTTGTCATCCATGATTTTTGATATACCCAGAAATCTTTTCATATTCATAAATCATTTTCTTACTTCTAGATTACATTTTGATAACTGATACAGATTACAAAACTCTCTTGTTCTAAAAAAAACCAATTAAATTTCAATTCAAGAATTTTTAATTCAAAAAAATAAAAGGAAAAATATTTCAACCCGTTCCCTGAGAACGATAACTCTTTCTTTCAAAAATTACTACCCAACAGTTTACCCAAGGAGGAATGAGCAACCTAAAGGCACCTAACAACATTCACTCATTAACACAAAGGGAAACAAAGAAAGCTAATAGGGGCAAACGCCTAAAGAAACAACAAACATAAAATAGAAGGGGAGGTGTTTGGGGTACCTATTTAGCAGAGAAGATGAAAATGCAAGAAATGAGTAAGGAAACTAAACCCAGCGTTCTCCGTTGAGCCTCGAAGTGCAATAGCAAGAAATTCAAGAGAAAATAGCAGATGTAAAATGAAGAAAGTGATTGGAGTAAAAGGAAATATGAGCAAAGCACACGAAGAGGCACGAAGTGGGAGAAAAGTGAAGCTAACCGTCATTTGAGCGCAAAAAAGAATAGATGAGGGCAAAATGGAAATTATTTGGGTATGATTAATCGAAATGTTATTTGTGAATTGTTAGAGTTCTTTATTGATAAATATTATTATTTGCAATTACTTGCTCATTATATGCAACAAATTTTGAAACTTACACGGAGATAAAAATTTAAATAATGCGAAATAATTGTGTATTATATACTATATGCAAAGGGGAGTTTATTATATACTAATTACTTTGTTGAAATTGCTTATTGCCCATAATTAATATTATTGCATCATATGTGATAATATATACTTTTGAAATATAAAATAACAAAGCTAACGTTGAAATGTGGACTGAATTGAATCATAATGAATGGAGATGAGATCTAGTTTTATTTCTTATGAACTTTGATCTTGATAACGCGTTAAAGTTAGCTTATAGTTAATGTAGAGAGTATACTTGACAATTTTTTTAGTGGGAGAGATATAATTGATTCTGTGTGATTTTGAAGTTACTGTGAAGTCAATAGGAGGAAATTATTTTTACTTGTATTATATGTGGATGACATAATTCTTAAGCATATTGAAATAGATTTCCTTTTAGCTACACCTCTAACTAAGGACTTAGGCTTATGATGGAAAGGGGACTAGGGTTAATACTTAATAAGTTTGGCTAGGTCTCATCTGCATTCACAATACATTGAAAAATAGACACTCCACAACTTGCATCATCGACAATTGTAATCAGGGAGTGGTGTGAACTGCAATGGAAGATCCTGGTCTTTCAAACCTTGCAGGAATATTAGAGCAAGCAAGAAGCAAGATAGCCTCTGAAGAAATCAAGAATCACGTCTTCAACAAGTAAACCTAAACTCTTTTAGTGTTCTAATTTCATATAATTTTATTTTATGATTTCTTAGACTTGGATTCACTCATTTACACAAGAGGAAACAAAGAAAGCCAATGGGGGCAAATGCCAAAATAAACAGTAAACAAAAAATAGAAGGGAAGTTGTTTGGGGTATGTGTTAAGTCAAGAAGATGAAAATGCATGAAATGCCTTTGGAAACTAAACCCAGAGTTCTCCGTCGAGCCTCGAAGTAAAACAATAGGAACTTCAAGAGAAAATAATAGCTATAAAATGAAGAAAATGTTTAGGGTAAAAAGAAATATGAGTAAAACACACGAAGATGCATGAAGTGGGAGAAATTTGAAGCTAATCGTTGTTTGAGCGAGAAAATGAATAGACGATGGCAAAATGGAAATTTTGTCTAAGGAATAGACACATGCACGCTTCGCGAAGAGCTCTAGGCAAATAAAAGCACACCACGTGGAAAGAAGAAGTGACAAAATCGATCACAAAAGGCAAAATGTCAACTCAAAATGATGACCTGCCCAGAATGAACCTCGAAATCGAGCATCATTAATTAGGTAAAACTCGGTAGAGGAAGGTAACAAGGGCTTAACTCACCTTAGCTACCTTTTAGAAAAGTGTAAGCCAACAGATCGACCTAAGAGCTCGGCCCAATAGCACAAGTCGACGGGATCGACCTAAGTGATCGGCCCAAGCATCAAAGGCAAGTCATGGACCTGACAAATAGTAGTACGACCTGTTCGCTCAGAAGTCGTCCCAAAGGCGAGTTATGCAACAAGTGCAGAACTCAAAAATGAACCTGGCCCAATCAGGATTCACAACAAACCATTGCACCTCAGCAGTCCGAACCCTCGAACTATAGAGTTGGGGTGAAATTGTTATGGACCTAAACAATAGGCTCATATCCCAACAATGTGTAACAAATAAACAACGTAACTAACAAAGGACAAATGGATATGATTCTTATCCTAACAATAAGATAAGTCCTCATAACAATCCTAGAGCAACTAGGGCCTAAGCTCAACCAGGTAATCACTATAAATTGGGGCTAAAGCCATCTGGAATATACTTTTGGCTCATTCTATACTGACTATCACTGTGCACACACCATGTGCCCTGACTGTGTCATTTTTCTATTAGTGCACAATGATCCATAAACCCTTATAGTATCTCCCTCATAAATACCCATGAATATACATATCCAATAGTAACTCACCACTTTTCGGGTGAACATACCCAATCCGCTAAAATTGAACACTAACATATTTAGGGTGTGCATGACAACCATTCTGTTCCCTGACACTGTTTCTTAAAAGAAACAATTCTTTTCTATTTTTGTGCCTTGGAACAATTTCTGAGAAAAACAAATGTGTTTGATAACATATTCTATTTTTAATTGGAGAATGAGAATTGTGTTTGATAACACAACAAATAATATAATAAAAATTTCTATTAAATATAAAAAGTTTTTGGATCATTACTTTCCTTTCCATATGGTGTGGCGGTGGTGGTGGCGTGGAGGTTGTAATAGTGGTGGTGGCGATAATGATGGAGGCAGTGGCAGTAATGGTGGTTGTGGCTGTGGCGATGGTGGTGGAGGTAGTGGCGACGGCGACGATAGTGATGGTAGTGGTAGTGGTAGTGATGGAAATAATGGCGGCGTGGTAGTGGCGACGATGATGATGGTGGTAATGGTTATGACATGTGGTGGTTATGGCAATGGTTGCATCGATGGTGGTTGGTGACGGTGGTGGTGGTGGTGGTGATGATGGCAGTGGCGGTAGTGGTGGCATGGCAGTGGCGGCGATGACGTGGTGATGGTGATGGTGACGGTAGTTGCCGAGGCAATGGTAGTGGTGGTGGTGATGGTGGTGGTGACGATGGCAGTGACAGCAGTGGCTACGATGATGGTGGTGGTGGTTGGTGGCGGTGGCGATGACGGTGATGGTAGTGGTGGTGATAGTAATGGTGGTGATGGGTAGAGGTGGTGGTGATGGTGGCAGTGGCATCATGATGGTTGTGGTGGTGGTGGTGACCACAACACTGGTGGTACAACGGCAACGACGATGGTGGCGGTAGTCGTGTCGGGATGATAGTGGTGGTGGTGATGATGGTAGAGGTGGAGAGTAATTGAGAGACAAATATTTCTCATTTTGTGCTCGGGAACTAGGGGTGTTAACGGACCTAGCCGAGCCGAGCTTTGGTCTTAAAAGGCTAAGCCTGTGTTTAATATGTCAGCCTAACCAAGCCTATTAGCTGTTATGAATATAATTATCGGCCTGTGGCTTGACTTATTTACAAAAAATAAAAGCCAGTTTTAGCATGTTACAAAAAAATAAGACAACAAAAATTTATCCAAATAGAATATACCATCAACAGACTAGTAATTCCATAAATATTACAAATTCAATGTACATCTAAACAACATAATATAGAACAAAATTATTCAAAAAATCTGTTTAAGCAATAAAACGAGGTGAAATGGATTAAGGAGAGATAGAGGGCTACTAAATGTAATATAAAAATATAAAATAAAAATAAAAATTAATATACTAGGCCAGCCTGGGAGACTCTAAGGTCGACCGAACTTTTGAATTGGAGCTTGAGGCCTTTTTATTAAACGAGTTTTTATACAAGTCCAGCATGATTCCAACAACTAATTTTAGACATGTAAGTTCAGGCCTTCACGAGCTGAGCCAAAGACCCCTGATTTATTTACCATCCCTACTAGGAACAAAAAAGTAGAAAATTTTTTATTCTTTTTTTTGTTCCCCAGCACAAAAATTAAACTGGTTCATTCCAGAAAAAAAAAAACCAATTTTATCAAATGAGTTTTTTATCCATTTTTATTTTTGGAAACAGAAATTAAAAACAAATTGATTCTGAGAAAGTTCATTAATAAGAATTGATTTGATTTGATTAGTGTGAATAAACTGATTAATTTATATTAAATGGAAAATTAAATTATCCCCATATTTCACCAAATCTAATTGAATTTTTTTTTATGTTTTAATGTTAAGACACGAAATAAAACTTTTCTCGATACTCAAAACCTTATCGAATGAATATCTAATCAATTTATTTATTTTTTAACATTCAAAACCAAACTTTTGGGGAATACAAGTTTAAGCGGACTCGTAATGGAAGGAAGTGGGTCCCAATGAGTAAAAGCGTGCTATGACATATCTCGTGTGGTCGTGCTCGTGCACGACCCTTACTTTATCTCTCTCCATAATATTTTTAATAAACTAATAAATAAATAAATAAAAGTATATATATATAATAATAATAAAACCAAGAAAATGGAAAAACACATAGGTAGATAACAGAGCACTGAGAAATTGAGAACTGGGCAAATATATATAAATAATATCCAAAGAGAGGTAGAGAGAGAAAGCGAGCGAGCGAGACAGAGGGTGGTTTCTTTTTTGTTGCTTTCTCTGTTTCTCATATGCGGCATATATATAGAATTTTTCTTTAACGGTTACTTTTGTGGCTGGCAAGGAGAGAAAGGACACTGATCAGTGACGACCCCTTTGGTTGCTGCTACTGAAATGGATTACAACAATGACAAGTATGAATATTTTCGCTCTTTTTTTTTTTCTATTTTGGGTCTTTTTCTGTATCTGGGTCTTTGTTTTTGGGAAAAAGGCACACTCTTTGGGAACTGCATTTATGTTTTTCAACACGTTCTTTCTGGTTTTGATGCTCTTCAGAGTTTTTTGTTGTTGTTGTTGTTGTTCTGTTTTTACTTGAGAGATGAAATTTGTTGGGATTTTACTTGTGTAAGTATTTTGTTTATTTAATTGGTTTGTTTATATTTTGGGTTGTTGATTTTCATTTTACTCTTTTTGTGCATTTTTTTTTCTTTGATTTGTTGGGTCAAATACTGGGAAACTGAGAAAGGTCCCTGTAGGTTCAATAATTTACTGTATATTGTTTTTATTTGCTTTCGAGATTGTTCGGTTTATGTTAGATTTTGTGGATGGAGAAAGGATGATGATGATGATGTTGGCGAGTCATCATTTTTTCCCCTTTTTTCTATTGTTTTTGTTTTTCCTTTTCTAATGTAGAATCTGATTGTTCTGTTCCATTTTATTTGTGTGGTGTTTTGCTTGGTAATTAGTGCTGCAGTTTACCATGTGGTCAATCTTTGATCCATTTAATTTGTTTAACTTGTCTGTAGTTCTAATTATGATGTCTACAATCGTTGTCTGAGGACTGAGCTCATCCTACTCTTTATGATTTTTCCACATTTGTTCTGGCACTGGATTCTTTTGTGTTTTCTCCCACATTTTTTCAATGTTGCATGACAAGAATTTGCTTTTTGCTTCATAATAAATGGTGCTAGGGACCCATGGAATTGGCATGGGAAGGATTATTGTCTCGAAAAGACTTCCAATTTTGGTAAGTCCCACTTGTGATTTTGAGTTAAATTAGTCTGAATAATTGATGCCTGATGACAAAATCTTGTTTGAGCAGACATTTCACCAGCGTTGTGGAATGAAGTTCCTCAAAATGAAGAGTTTACCTACGTGTTCCATGATGAAACAACCCCAGTGAAGGCTTGTGGAGATTTTGCATACAATGTTAATAATAATGGTGAGACAGTCTAATGACCGATATGCTCAACTTGAATATATTGTTATTTTTACATTCTATTATTATTATTGTTATCTGTTATCCTTCTTCTTCTTGTATACAATGTTATCCTTTTTAATTCAAATAAGCTGGATTTCAGAATCAAATAATATCCAAAAGGAACCAGAGAAATGTTGGGAGACTTCTTCACAAGTCAAGAGACGGCGTATGCTACGATTCAATACACGAGATGGGGATCATTTCCTTTCAAATGAACAGATGTCATCAGCATATTTGAAATTAAATGTTAGTGCTAGTAGCTTTTACCTGGACTGACTTTTCATACCCATAGCATAACAGCTTAGATAATTCTAGCCACATGAAAAATAACAAGTTCAGATCTGCTTTTAATTTGTTCAAATATGTATATTTTTATTTAACAAAATCCACGTTAGTTTACCATTACATTGTTGTTTAGGGAAGGAATACATCATATCTTGGGGTAAGTATCCTTTGTTTAACTTTTCTTAGTTCTTGCTGTTAAATTTCTCTTTTCCATTATTAGATTTGATAATATCCTTAATGAAATGATTGGCTCTGATGTATTGGTTTGTGGTACCACCTGTATTGCTTCATCTGTAAAGTAGAGCTTATTCAAAGAACCCTGTTTTAATTTAAACATTTGGGATGACTGTTAAAGTTTGATAATTTGGTGTTTGGTTCAAATCTGTGTTAGAATATCTTCCATCCCTTATATTAATTATTTAGTGATCTTCTCTATTGTTATGGATCTTTGTCCTTCAAATAAGGTTTAGTGTCCTTGTCTTTTGGGTTCATCAACAATCTTGATTCTTTTATTATTCCTTCAAGAGTTCATGATTTACAGATAGTCAGCAGTAGCAGTCTAGCACTTAAAAACAATATTGCTATTCTTTAATACAAAAATATTTTGTTTTGTTTTTCTTGGCAAATGTGTCCCCTAGTTTATTGATTTCAATGAGGTGTTCCTTGAGTTAATAATTGTTCTGGCATTGTGGTTTTGCCTGATTGGATATCTGTTACATTATGTATATAGGGGGAGGAGGACTCAAATGAGGATGTTTTTCAAGAAATGTCACAATGGGTGTCTGGTGCATCAGGTTTATGTTTTGCAAGATTCTATTTTGAATATTCTTCTTTTTTGGATGGCTTTGATAATTCATTTGGATGTTTAGTTCTGATCTTTAACCAATCATAATGGAATATGCATTAGGAAGTGAATCTGCTTCCAATTTTGAGGACCTCGCGGTAGCTGAAGGGTGGCTTGCAGATTGCTTTAATGATGCTGAAATGCAATTCTGTCCTGAGGATATGTATGCTTCTAAGGATCATCACTAATTTATGGCATATATTTATTTATTCACAATAACCACATGATTATGTTATTTGACTCAGGAATTTTTCTGGGGCAGATGATGTTCATATTGATGTTGCAGGTATGCCACATTGTCTTCCGTTCACAATTGTCTTCTAATTTTGTTTACTCCTTTCTCCTTTTTTCTTTCGTTGTACATTGAATCTTATTTGAAAAAATTATATGCTACTGTAGAGCTGTGCAACTTCTCACCAGCGTATGAACAAAATGGGGTTCAGCATCAAGTTACTCAAACCCCCAGAAATATTATCTTCAAAGGTTCGGCTTGTTTTTTTTGTTGATATTGTCTTTCTTGCCAGAGAGAGAGAGAGAGAGAGAGAGGGGGGGGGGGGGGGGGCTTGGAGCAGCAGTAAGGTAGCTCCTTGTGATCGGAAGGTCACAGGTTCGAGTCTGGGAAAAAACCTCTTTGTAAATAGAAGGTAAGGCTGTGTGTACAATTGACCCTCACTCTAACCCTCCCAAGTTGGTAGCCTTGTGCATCGGGGTTTTCCTTTTTATTGACTTGCTTGCTTGTTTAATTGTACTGGATATCTGCTTAATTTCTCATCTACAAAAGACCCTCCAGCTACATAGACATGAAATTGAATTCTCTTGTATGCTATATGCTGATAGTGGTGCATTCATGAGACATGTTAAGTTAACTTGCTTTTGCAAGATTCGTGTTTTTACTCCTAAAGCTGGGATCTTTTCAGTACTGTCAAATGCAAAAGATCCTTATGCCAGGAATTATAGTAGATAATAGTTAATGGCTTGAAATATTTTTGACATAAAAAGAAGTTCTGACTCTCTTTCACATGTATAGGTCGGAAATCTCTTATAACAACTCCTACAAAGTTGGCTGCTTCTGTGGCCTATCCGTTTACCTTCATTAAACCCAGCGGCACAGGTGGAGATGTCACCCTGGAGGAAATAAACCAGCGCATTCAGTCTCCAGCTCCTTCGAAATCGAAGCAAATCAGGGAAGATCCATCAGCATACCCCAAATCAGCCTTTTCAGGGAAGCCTGTAGTTGGAAAAACAAAAATCCGCACTGAAGGTGGAAAAGGTAGCATCACAATTATGAGAACTAAAGGCTAGGTAAAGGTAAGTTGTTCAGTATAATTGTCTCACCCCATTAACTTGTGGGGTTGACTTCATTCTGTAAAATATCTGGCAGATTATAGTTGATACTGCAACTTTGGTTTTCTATTAACTTTCATAAGTGATAAGTTACACCACCTTAGTGTTTATATTCTAATGGGGGCCTTGGTAGATGTTTTTGTTTGAGCTAAGTATTGAATGAGAATACTGATATCAGTCTCCCCAGAACCTTTGCTTATGAAATGACAAGTTTTTGTAATTGAATCAAACAGATTTTAGTTTTATGCCTTTCTTCCCAAGTTTTGTATCTCAATTTCATGGATGCATTTGTTGCAGAAATCAAGGTTTTTAATCGTAATACGTATTGTGCATCGTTTGATTATTTTTTTGTTGTGTATAGTGAATGTTATCAAATTGTAAGATTCAGAAACATAATAAAAAATAACTTAAAAATATAAATTATCATATAAATCTCATTCTAAGTCTTCAATTTCTTTCTCTTTGTTTGTATTGTAGCTCTTTGAAAACTTTTCCGAGACTCTGTTTTCTTGTGCTTAATTATGTTTATTTTATATTGTATCAATTTTACTAAAGACCGAAGACATTTGTATTAATTTGAATATTTTTTATTGTTTCCCTAATTAATAGTTAGTTTCGAGATTCATTTTTGAATTTGAATCACAAATTATCTCTTTTTTCTTTCCCCAATTAATAGTGATTTTTTTAAAAGAAAAATTAATTGAAAATCTTAAATTTTGGTTTGATTTTTGAATCATAAATTGTGATATTATACACGATTCGATATTGACTCATGCGATGCAATGATTCATGGTCCGATGCAAGACCAATTCTGACACAGACAATCGATTCATATCACTCAGGTATCGTTCAGCTTTTATATCATATCGTATCAGGATAATATGTTAACGAACTCACTCGAGCTTTGGTCTTAAAAGGTTAAGGGCCCATTTGCATGAGTTTTTTTTCTTCAAAAACTGTATTTTTTTTTCAAGAAAAAAAGCACTTCTCGTTTTTAGTTCGTTTGGATGTCTGCTGTTAAAAAAAGCAGAAGTCACAAAAAAAATCAAAAACTTACTTTTTCTAGAAGCTAAAAATTTTAACTTCTAAAAAAAGTAAAAGTCAAAAGCCAAATATGTTTTTCAAAAACTAAATATTTTTATAAAAATATAAATAACTTTAACTTTTATAAAAAGTACTTCTAAAATAAGGAAGAGATAAAAGTTACTTTTTTGAGAAGCTCAAACAAACAGGCTCTAAGTCTGTATTTAAATGTGTCAGTTTGACCAAGCTTGTTACCTGTTATGAATATAATTATCGGCATGTGGACTGACTTATTTACAAAAATTAAAAGTCAGGTTAAGCCTGTTAGCCTATTTAACAAAACTGAGACAATAAAAATTTATCCAAACAGAATATACAATTAATAGCACAAGTAATTTCAGAAATATTTATAAATTTAATGTATATCCAAACAGGATAATACAAAACAAAATCATTCAAAACCTATGTTTAACTAATAAAATGGGGTGAAATGGATTGAGGATACAGAGAGGGCTATTTCAAGTAATATAAAAATTAAAATAAAAAATAAAAATTAATATACTAGGCCAGTTTGAGAGGCTAAGAGGCTCTAAGGCCGAGCTTTTGAATTGGAGCCTGCGACCTTTTTATTAAACGAGCTTTTATACAAATTCAAGTCTAGTTCCAACAATCAATTTTAAACATATAAGCTCAGGCCTTCACGAGCCGAGACAAAGGTCCCTGAAAGGCCGCTGGTTCGTTTACGACGCCTATATATCATACATCATTCGATACTAACTATTATTGCAGAAATTGCATGTCTAAGCTTGCACGTATGTCTATTTTATATTTCATTATTCCTTTTTCGTTTTTCTTATTTTGAGCCTGATATCAATTAAAAATTACTTTAAAGGGAAAAATATTAAGAAAAATGGATAAGCTGATTGTGTTCTTATGCAGGTATTTTGTTCATGATTAAAAGGGTAAATAAATCCTTTAACATGCTTTTAAATTGTGAGTTAGCTAGTAATATAAAAAGACATGGGGTGCGCTGGGGAAAAAATACAGATTGTATGAAACAATTAGAATGTGTGCTTATTTTATAAATTACAAAAGAAAGTATACTTAAATAAAACAATAAAAAAATTAATTAAAATGATAGGAGGAATATATTACTTTATTATCGTTGTCCCAAGCATAAGAAGGTCTTTCAAAAAGTTGTTCCTACGTTTGATGGAGACAAAAAAATTTCATTTTTGTCCACTGTTTAAGCATTTTTTTTTTCATGAATATTTTTAAAATTAAAGCTACAATAAGGAGTTTTGTGTTGTATTATCCCTGATGTTTTTTTTAAGCAAAGTCAAACAAATCTAGCACAGCTGGTTAAACTTTCTGTCCATTTTAGTTGTGGTTTGAGTTTGATTGGGCATGAAATTTGTCTCTCCTAATTTATTTATTTATTTCAAAAAAAAAAAAGTGCTTTGTTCAAAACTCTTAAAATAGTTGAGGCAACTCGCATAACAATCAGATTAATAAAGATACCAAAATTCAATGGACAAAATCATTTTAACAGAAAGAAATATCACATTGATTTTCAACAGCCTGGCTTATAAAAGCAGCAGCGGAAATGGGTTTGGTGAGAAGGTCAGCAATTTGTTCAGTGCCAGGGATGTGTTGAACGAAAACTTGCTTTTGGATTACACGATCCCTTACAAAGTAGAGGTCAAGTTCGAAATGTTTAGTTCTACTATGGAGAATGGGATTTTCAGCTAACATGACAACACTTGCATTGTCACAGAAAACAGTTGGAAGAGTTGTACAAGAAATGCAAAGTTCATGAAGGAGAGATTGAAGCCAAGTAATTTCTGCCAAGGTAGAGGCTAAGCTACGAAACTCAGCTTCTGTGCTGGACCTCGACACAGCATGTTGCTTTTTGCTTGACCAAGATATAAGATTTGAACCAAGATACACACAAAAACCACTTGTGAATTTTCTATCATCAATGTCGGATCCCCAGTCAGAATCACAGAAGGCAAGTAATCGAGAATCCTTAGATTTGTGAAATATAAGACCATATGTTCTAGTGCCAGCCAAGTATCTCAATATTCTTTTGACAGCTTTCCAATGAACTTCAAGTGGTTTGTGCATGAATTGGCTAACTTTGTTAACAGCATAGGAGAGATCAGGTCTTGTGATAGTTGCATATTGTAGTCCACCAACAATGGAGCGATATAGAGTAGGATCTGAGAAGGCAGTGCTTCCTTCCATGGATAATTTCTGACCTGTAAGCATTGGGGTAGGCATGGACTTTGCAGAATTTATAGTAGCTTTTTCCAAAAGATCAGTAATGTATTTAGTCTGACTAAGATGGATGGTTGTGGGAGAAGTGTAGACTGCTTCTAGACCAAGAAAATAATGAAGTTGACCAAGATCTTTAATTGAAAATATGTTGTTGAGTTGAGATATAAGAGAGGAGATTTCAGATGTGTTGTTGCCAGTAATGAGTATGTCATCAACATATACAAGAATGTAGGTGGTGGATGTAGGAGTGAACCTTGTGAATAAAGAGGCATCGAATTTGGTGCTATGAAAACCAAACTTTTGTAAGGTATGATTGAGAGTATTGAACCAAGCACGAGGAGCTTGTTTGAGTCCATAGAGAGCTTTGTTCAATTTGCACACAAGTTGAGGATTACTGCTAGGGAAACCATCAGGTTGCTGCATGAAGACATCTTCATGTAAGGTTCCACAAAGGAAAGCATTATTGAAGTCAAATTGTCGAATGATCCATCCATTAGATAGAGCAATGGAGAGAATGAGTCGAATGGTGGATAGTTTGATGACAGGGCTGAACACTTCAGTGAAGTCAAATCCTTCCCTTTGTTGAAAACCTTTAGCAACAAGGCGAGCCTTGTACTTTTGAATTGTGCCATTTGGTTATCTTTTGATGCGAAAAATCCACTTGCAACCAATGGGTTTGATGTTGGGTGGAGGAGGAACAAGAGTCCAAGTACCATTTTTAATGAGAGCATGGAATTCTTCGGTCATAGCCTGCTTCCAATAAGTACAGTTAAGTGCTTGAGATACATTTAGAGGCTCAGAATTGAGAAATTCAAATTGTGAGCCAAGTAAGGTTGTAGCATATGTCTTTGCCTTGTGAATTCCAGATTTGCTTCTGGTTTGCATATGATGAAAGTTATGAGGAGAAGAGTGTGGAACAGATTGAGAAGAGGAACTATCAGTAGCAGTAGTGGGAGGAATTTTAAGTGAAGACTGATGTATAGAACCTGAAGTAGGAAGACTAGACAAAACATTAGTAGCACCTGTTGATGTTGTAAAAGGTGTAGAATGACAAGATGTAGTTGTGACAGCAGGTAGAATATGAGATGTAGTATGTTTTTGGAATGCAGGGTATCTTAGGAATGGAAGAAGGAAGATATGTAAAGGATGTAGGTGAAGTAGAAGTGTTAGAAAATAAAAAAGTGTAAGGAAAATCAACTTCATCAAAGATGACATCTCTAGAAATAAAATTTTTCCTGTAGGGGAAAGACATTTGTAGCCTTTTTGATTGATAGCTTAGCCTAAAAACAAACATCTATGGGATCTAAAGTCTAGTTTATGTTTGTTATAGGGTCGAAGTAAAGGAAAGCATGCACAACCAAAGACTTTCATAAAGTTGTAGTCAGGTTTGTTATGATGAATTAATTCATAAGGAAATTTATAATTTGTAACAGGTGAAGGGAATCTATTAATAAGGTAAGTGGCAGTAGAGAAAGCATCTTCCAAAAGTGTAAGGGAAGTTTGGCATTAGATAAGAGTGCTAAACCAACTTCTGTTATGTGTCTATGTTTTCTTTCAACTCTTCCATTTTGTTGATGAGAGTAGGGACATGTGAGCCTATGAGTAATGCCATGAGTTTGCAAAAATTGAGTGAAAACATGAGATAGGTATTCTTTTCCATTGTCAGTTTGAAGAGATTTTATTTTTAAACCAGTAAGAGTTTCTATCATGGATTTGTATTGTAAGAAAGCATGATAAACCTGTGACTTATTTTGAAGAAGATAATTGCAGTTGTAACGGGTAAAAGCATCAACAAATAAGACATAATATCTGCTGTTAGAGGATCCAGAAATAGGAGCTGGTCCCCACACATCCGAGAAAACTAAATCAAGAGGAGCAGCATAATAAGTAGTAGATGGAAAATGAGGTAATTGGTGAATTTTTCCTAAGCAGCAAGCTTCACAAACAGAAG